TGTAATTCAGTCCCAAAGGACTGAGAACCAGGGGAGCCCATGGTGTAAATCCCAGTCTCAGGGTAGGAGAAGATGAGTTATCTAGCTCAAGTAATAAGGCAGGAACACGGGGGCAAATTCCTCCTTCCTCGGTCTTTTGTTCCATTCAAGCCATCAAGGGAATGGATGATGCCTGCCCACACCGGGGAGGGCAATCTACTTTACTGAGTCCACAGATTCAAATGCTAATCTCACAGAACCATCTCCAAAGATACACCTGGAACAATGTTTAATTCTGGACATCTACTGCCCAGTCAAGTCAACATACAAAATCAACCATCACATATATAAACTAAAATTTTTGCAATGCATTTGTAACAAGCCATAATCTCTTCACATGTATTGCTTCCAGGGTAATCTTCTTAACTCATGTGTAAGCCAATTTATGTAATTTTCAAAATATATTTTAATATATACTGTAGATCATACATGGAGAAAACTAGAATAATGCTTTGTAGACAAGCCTATATATATCTTCTGTAATTTGAAAGATTTCAGTTTGAAGCTGAGTGAAACACTGTAGTGGACTTATTCTTGTTCCCAAGTATTCACAATTATTACTCCTTGCAGTGAGTGAAGAAGCATCCCCGCCCCTCGGACATTAGGAGTGGCCATGTGACTTCTCTAGAGGTCAATGGCATGTAAGCAGACTGGATGATTGTCTTGTCTGAGCAAAAGCTTTAAGAGCCCTTAAGGGTTTCTGCTCTCTTGCTTTTCTCTCCACCATGAGTAAAGTTTGTCCCAGATAAGGGCTGCTCCTTCAGTTTGGGTACTGGAATGAAGACATGTAGAGCAGACTTGCAGATGACCCATATCTGTCAATATGCAACATGAGCAAGAAATGATTGCTGATGTAAGCCACTGACATTGGAGTTTTGTTAATGCAGCATGACTCCCTTCAGCAAAAACATGTTTTAGTGCTACATTCTCAAAGTAGCTTTCAGTGAACTGTGAACAGTCTTGGCTTTTTTACGTCATTATTTATAAACGTTTATGCCATATGCTAAAAAATCATTCTTTTGGATTCAAAATGTTTTAAAATCAGATAATTAAGATAAATAAGTTTATTTTCTGAAGGAAACATTTTTCATACTAAATTAAATGTTAAAAACCAATAGAAGTGAAACATAGATCATACATTTACAATCAGGAATAATATAACTGCTCCATTTAAAAACCACTCTAAAATTAGATCAAAATTAAGACACCTTCCTCCTTCTTCTCACTCCAAATTCCCAGAAATACAAGAAATTTTTCAAGAGGAAATTTGTAATAGTGCTAGAAAACAAAAGTTATATTTAAGCAAGTTTGCTTTTTTTTTTTTTTCCAAAAAGTTAGGAAGGAATGCAGGAAGAGAAACCCAAAACCTACAACACTATTGGAAGAGTCTGCTTCCGTATCCCTCTTCCCACAGCAGCCACTAGTTTGATAATACATTCTGCACAGTTTTTCTGGCTTCTCCTTCTCACTCTTCCCACTCACTGGCTTCTGCTTTCTAAGATTAACTCCTAAAACATCTATTTGTACCCTAGTCTTTGTTTCAGGGCTCTGATATTGTAGGAACCCAAACAAAGTCAAGCCCTGATGGTTCCCCAAGATCCAGGGCCTCACTTCTGACTTCCTTCTCTCATTCTCATTCTTTCTCTCTCTTCCCTCTCCCTCTCCTTCTCTCTCCATATTCTTACCCAGCATATTCACAATTAAACTCATCACCGCTGTTTCAAACCTGTCTTTCTAACTTCTCATTCATCCAGGAACAAAACCTCAGGTTCATCTTTGACTTTCTATCACATCTCACAGATCCACTTAATTTCAAGTCCAGTCATTTCAACTTACTGAGTTCATTCTCATCCTTCCTCATTCTACCTACCTCTGCCAGCTTGGTTTAGGTCTCACAATCTCATGCATGGATATTATGAAAGGTTACTGACTGATAACCCAAGCTACCTTCTCTCCTTGGTATAATTTGTCATCTAACCTTCCTGAAGCAAGCTCTGGCAATATTATATAACTCCACTCAAAAAGCTCTTGTGGAATTCAATGTCTATGCTCCAAAATAAAGCCCTCTTGACCTCAGCCTATCTTTGCCAACAACTTTATTCATTACTTCAAGAGCCTTCCCAATAGAGCCACTCACCATTCTCTCTACAAGTTTCATGTTTTCCCACCTCTGCCTGTGCTCTGTTCCCTATACCTGGAAAGCTCTGACCCATTTTTCATCTTACTCAAAACCTACCTTGTGTCAAGTGCTACTTCTTCCAAGAAGAAGTCTTCAATGATTCCCCAAATAAAAACACTATCTCTCTTCTGATCTCCTATAACACTTAAATTGTACTTTTCTTGGAACTTTTATCACTTGTTTTAAACTAGAGTATAACTTACATTAAAATGTAAAAATCTTAGATTTGATGATGCTTTACATATATATCAACATATATCCCACTCTTGTAATCCTCCATCCAGACTAAGATATAAAACATTTCTAGCATCCAGAAGGTTTCTTGTGCCCTTCCAGTCAAAGCCCCTTTCCAAGAGTAATCTCTATTCTGACTCACCTCAGATTCGTTTTACCTGGTTTTGAACTTCATATAAATGCAGTCATGTAGTACATACTCTTTTGCATCTGGCTTCTTTCATCCTACCTATGACCTCTGAGATTCACCCAGGTCATGCTGATTATTAATTGTCTGTTGTTTTTAAATAATAGAATAGTAATTTTAAAAGTCCATTATAGGGTCATACCACACTCGTGTAACCATTCCACTGTAGATGAATATTTTTTAGTGTTTTCACTATTACAAATAAGGCTTCTATGGACATTTCTGTATACCTTTTGTTGGACATTAGCACTCATTTCTACCCTTAAGAATAGAATTATTGGTTCATAGGTATTTTTATGTTTGGCTTAGAAAGTACTGCCAAACATTTCTCAAAAGTGTTTGTATCAATGAATACCCTACTAACAATATAAAAGAATTCCAGGTGCTCCATATGCTTACCAACACTTGTTATTGTCATTGTTTTTAAAACCCCTTTTGATGTCTGTGCTCTCACTTCTATATTAAATTATACCCATAAACAACAACATCACATATTTTGCAAACTTTTAAACTGTACCATATCTCAGTGCATATTTTTTACCCTATAACGTAAGCAAGGAGAGTCCTATTATTATCCTTATTTTATATTAGGTAGGTACAAAAATAATTGTGGCTTTTGTCATTAAAAATAACAGCAAAAACCACAATGACTTTTGCACCAACGTAGCAGATGAGAAAACAGGTTCAGCGAGGAGAGCTTGCTCTCATGACCAGCTTGCTCACTGTCATGAGTCTAGTGAGTGGTGGAGACACTGAATCGTGTACATCTACCATGGCACATGGCTTCTAGTTATAAGGGTACATGTTTTGTGTCTGCTAGCTTACTAATGGCTCTTTGAGGTTGAGACTTATTTTTAATTTATCACCAACAAAGGAATGAATGAACTGAAATATAAAACCGTAATTTCTTTGTACATAAAAACTTTACAATAATTGGTTATAATAACATAATGACTAAGAAGCACCAGCACTTGTTACCTGAATCACAAAGGATTGTATTTCAGTTTCACAGATTCACAAATATCTAAATATTTAGTCTCAATTAATGACTTTCTTTGAATATTAAAGGATTAAAAACTTATAAGCCTCTGTTCAAAGGGTTATTTTAAACTCACTTATTTTTACTATTACTAAGCAGTCTTAAAGGCTATCAAAAATATTTGGGTTCTTAAATCAACCAGATTTCAGTTTTGTATTTTGTGCATACAACACCATAGTTAGCATCTTAATATGCGTTATTTTTTAGTTGTTTTTCTTGTGTATAACCTAACAATATACCAAGAAGTAGTAAGGAAAATAAAAGAAATACTAATATGAATGGATGTACACAGAAGTTTTATAGTCAGCAACTTTGGGTAGCTTATTAAAAGATTATTTGATTCTTTTAAGTCAAATAATCTTATAATAAAAAGATTTCTTAAGATACTCTGACATCTTCTAACAGATTGTTTATGAGGTGTCAGTCAATAAATCAGGAGCTATCTGTATCAACAAGCATGTGTTTTAGAAGATATACGGCAAATTACAGAATAATCCGATTACATTTTATGCTGTCAGAAGGTACAGATGACACATTTAAGCAATCTGACATCAATGGATAGCTAGACCTTGGTGTGCCTTAAAAATCACCCATTTCATTCAAGAATGGTACCATGGTTTACACCCGCTCCCTAGGTGAAAGCTACCATAGACACCTCCGAGTATCCACTTCTTTTTTGTCTATGTATGTCCATTTTTTCAAACGTGTTATCATTTTATGCATCTCTAAAACATTTAACTTCTAAAACTTCTTACTTTAGACCTATAAAAAATCATCAAGAGTTTTAAAATACATTTTTGAGGCAGAGATTGTAAATGTAAATCATAATCAAAATAATTGACTTTCATCATCACATACTTCACATCAAAACAGACTTTCTATCGGAATACTTCTCTCTCTGAGGCTAAATAACCTAGCTAAGTGTGCACTGACACATTCCAAGGTGACCACACAATTCATTTGTGGCATACCAAAGTATTTACAACTGAAGCCTGCTGTAAAATACAATAAATTCATAGCATGCCACAGGTATCTGAGAACTTCCTGTAATTCATAGGAGATGATCAGATATAATGAAATGTGTTTAATACAAATTTCTGTCTTGTATTCAAGGCCAGCTTGATTTTCAGAACAGCAACAAAAAGCTACACAAGTAAATCCTCTAGATATAATCAGTCAACCGTTTTCTCAAACATATTAGAGATGTTTAATTATAGCCATATACCTTTGAACTTGTTTCAATTATAGAAGAAAATTCCACTTTTCAAGTTCAGACATGACTGCTAAAAATAGATCCTGTTCCCAGTAGCAAATGAACTTACCTCTCATGCATGTAGTCAACTCCCAGCAGCAGCTGGATAAACCATTCTATTATTTGATTTTCTGGAAACAGCTTTCCAGCTTCTTTATATTCCTGAATTTTATAGTCCAGATCTCGGCCCTAAAATGAAGAGCATAATATTTCATAGTTTTTCAGCTAATATTTTAAAATCAAGCTCACTTAACAACAGTTAATACATAGCAGTCACTGTTTATGATAAGAAAGTGCCACTGTAATTATCACTACAAAGATTCTCTCTTTAACCAAAGTCTACTCAGGTTCATCTAAGCATTATTCTCAACTTTGACCTATAAAGCACTCTTCTCAACCTTGACCTATAAAGACTTGAACAAACATGAATGTATTAACAGTTTCTAAAAGCCCAAGGCCACAACCCTAGAATGGTTCTACCCTCCCACCCCTTAAAGTTCCTGCCTGAGAAAACTCAAAGTAGACAAAAGAATTGACTGTTTGTTCCAGTCAACGCCTGAAGATAAGGTTCTTGTCTCCCAATTTCTAAGGAAGGTTAGGAATCTAACTTTGATGAGCACCAGTTAACAAACCCACATGGTTTTAAGGGACCAGCCTCCACTTTCTGATTTTTGTAATTTTTCACTTCCTTGACTTTGCTCAGGCCCCTGCTGTTCCTCTTCCCTACTCCCTTATTCTCCCTGAATACCCAGTCACTCTGCACAAATCAGAATGGAGATTACCTCTTTCCCCTAGTGTTAGTAATTATTCCATAAAATCCGTTTTAAAGGCTTTAACTAATGATATCACTCAAGGAAAAAACCCTTATAAGGAGAAAAGTTATCATATAAACCTTCAACCTAAATTATGTTTTATATTACCTAAATATGCACCCGCATAAAACTAGCAATAACTTTTCTTACACTCAGAGTTGTATATAATGATAGAATCTTAACATATATAAACTTAAAAAGTCTGCCCAATTAAATTCAAATAAGTGATATTAATTTAATATAAAGTGATGATTTTTGGTGAAACTAAATTGGTACTTACATTGTGCATACAGCTGCTATAGTATAGATTCTTTCGAGTTTGGTATGCCCAGGGAACCATGTGCACTGGGATAACTGAATTCTCCTTTCCTCTGTAAAACTATAGCAAAACGCTAAGGAATACAGTAACTGTGAATCTAAGTGGGGACCCAGGCACATCATTTAAGCATTTAGTCAATCTCTATCCTATCACTCACTGGCAATAAGTAAAATAGTAATACCTGCTATGAAAGCCAAAAACTATAATAAAAAATGACAAATATCTAAAATAGCCTGGCAGTGTCTGACACAATGCCCTTTCTGAATATACTTGTACTGATGTATTTCAATTATTATAAAAATAAAAATGTCAAATGCTAAATTATCTTAGAGAACCCTTAGACCTGATCCCTTTTACTACAAAACACTGAAAAATTAGAGATAATTTGAGAAGTGGTCCTCAAGAGGAAAGGATGGATTAAATGTTAACTGTGTTTGGACATGTTTGCAGGATCCAAAACACAGGCCCCATAACGAGTGGGAGAGGTACTTACCATGCTCATCTCATGGGGAGCATAAGTGGAAAAAATGAAACTAGTTACAGACTACTCATGACAGAGTTGTTGTTAAAGTGCAAAGGAAAAACATTTATAGGCAATGAGACAATCCAAAGGAAATTACTTCTAATGAAGCAACATGAGGTCAACTGATTCACTTCTAATCAATATTTTATTTCCTTACAGTACAATGTGCAAATATTTGCTTAGCATTTTCTCTCCTACACCGGGCCATAAAAAATCAAAAGTATAGCAAACATTCACTTGCAGTCTAGCTCAAGTACGGCTTTCTGATAGATTCTCTGGGCCAAGAAGACTGTTCCAAAGCTTGCTGGAATTCAAAAATATGGAGAATTGAATATTTGACTCCTTGTCTAAAACAGTATCATTTCTTCCTCATTCTCCAAACCTACCTTCATTTCTCCTCTCTTTTTAATCCTAGAGTTTATCTGAATTCTGTTAAGCCACATAAGCTGTACTCTCATGTTTCTATAAGTTGCAAAGAACATTTTTGGTAATAGATCATTATAACATCCTGTGTAGTAGACATGAAAGTCCTTCAGATGAAAGGTGACCTGTACAGTTGATGCCTGAACAACACAGGTTTGAACTGTGTAGCTCTGCTTCAAGTATCAGTTCACAAGCTGATATTTTTCAACCAAACACATACTGAAAATATAGTATTTGCAGGAATGGAAATCTGCATATATGAAGGGCTTCCATAAATATAAAGGTTCTGGTATATCCCATTTAGTTTCTCTGAATACAATGAAACATCTCCAGTGGCAGAAAGACTATTGCGTACGTGTTGCCATCTTCTTCCTGAATAGCTTCAGAGGAGGAGTGAAAGGAGAGCAAAGAAGACAAAGACAATGATAAAGAAAAAGGAAAAGAAAAGCTTGCCTTAAAGAAATATCAGTGAAGCTGCCTGCTAGCTTCTTATATCAACCCAATGTTTATCACTTTAAAAACACCATACATAAGCACAATTGTCTCTATGTACAAAAATTATGGTCCCAGAACCTGTGAGGTTTTAAATGTGTCAACCTTACTAAGGACAATCTAGAATTATAGTGGCCACAGCGAAGTTTAACCCAGATAAAACTGGTCACTTGTAAGGCCCATTAGAAAAGAAAAGATCTGGCCAGGCATGGTGGCTCATGCCTCTAATCCCAGCACTTTGGAAGGCAAAGGCGGGCAGATCACAAGGTCAAGAAATCCAGACCATCCTGGCTAACATGGTGAAACCCTGTCTTTACTAACAATTCAAAAATTATCTGGGCATGGTGGTGCATGCCTGTAGTCCCAGCTTTCAGGAAGCTAAGGCAGGAGAATTGCTTGAACCCGGGAAGCGGAAGTTGCAGTGAGCCAAAATTGCGCCACTGCACTCCAGCCTGGTGACAGAACAAGACTCTATCTCAAAAACAAAAACAAAAAACCGCAAAAACAAAAAAAAGAAAAAGAAAAAAGATCCAACATACCACAAAAGCAATGGGACACATTCTTTAATTGATACACAGAAGTATTAAAATACCCAAGATATTTTTTTGTTTTTGAGACGGAGTTTCGCTCTTGTTACCCAGGCTGGAGTGCAATGGCGCGATCTCGGCTCACCGCAACCTCCGCCTCCTGGGTTCAGGCAATTCTCCTGCCTCAGCCTCCTGAGTAGCTGGGATTACAGGCACCCGCCACCATGCCCAGCTGATTTTTTGTAGTTTTAGTAGAGATGGGGTTTCACCATGTTGACCAGGATGGTCTCGATCTCTTGACCTCGTGATCCACTCGCCTCGGCCTCCCAAAGTGCTGGGATTACAGGCGTGAGCCACCGCGCCCGGCCCCAATACCTAAGATATTAAATAAATCAAAGATTTCCTCTTTAAAAGATTCTTTAGAGGAGGCAAATAAAAAAAACTAAAGTCTTTTCTACAAATATCAGTCAAAAGCTTTAAACATCTGGGTGGGTAATCTTGTTCCACGGGCCAGATAAAGTTCAGTTCCAGATATCCTTTAATACATTAGTGAGCTTTGTGCTATTGTACTTGGCACCTGGCTAAAATTTTTAAATGAAAACTATAAGATCTGTTTTTACATGTATATTTATATGTGTCAGTATGTATGTTATGAATGTGTAATATATTTCTTTTTCCTTATGGTATTGCCAAAATTAAATTGTAAAAGAGAATTACGTAATTGGCTTAAAGAAAAATAAGTGCTTATATAAAATACGTATTCCTTAAACCCTTAGAAAGAAACCTGAAATATTTTTCAAGTTTACATAATCTTGGATAACCTTTGGTAAATAAAAGCTAAAAAAAGTATGTTGGCTTGATTAATGCAGGCATATCTTCAGAGTTGTCGACATTTAGTATAATACAGATGCACAACTCTTCTTCCCTAGGTTTAGTGAAATAAATTCATGTTATCTCTATGTGACATAACTTGTCAGCAAGAAAAATAACTTAAGGTGATGGCTAGGCATTTAAAGTCTCATCTTTATGAGTATTTCAAGCATAATTGTTAAAAATAAGATTTAAATAGAGGTAAGATAAAATTCCCATGTGAAGAATGTCCTTTCTATACCAGAAACTTTTAACACTCTTATGAAGGATGGGGAAAAAAAGCCCTAAAAGGATAGAGGTAAAAATTTGCTTCCTCTACCATTCCTAAATACAGAGAGGCTAAAGACAGCTGAGACTGTTAATACTTCTGTGCCACATTGAAAAAAAAGAAAGTGTTATAAAAAAGTACACACTCCTAGAATTGTAATTCACAGATTTTCCAATCTATAGACTGCTAGTATGATATTCACACTTCCTAGCTTCCTAGTGTTCACTAGAAATTAAGGTCATAAAGGGCTAAGAATACTAATTAAAGTATGTAACTAAAATTACTAGAAATACTAAGGAAAACAATTTTATATGCAAGTATACAAGGTAGGTCAGATGTGCTTTTGGTAAGGAAACGCGTAAGTTATGAGGATGTGTATTGTTTTGTTAAAACAAGAAGAGAAAAATTTTTGTACTAAAGTAGAATGATTAATTGTTCCAAAATGAGAAAGAAGTATGGGGTGGGGGGGTAAAAACCTGTCTGGATATTAGAAAGTGATAGGGTTTGGCTGTGTCCCCACCCAAAATCTCACCTTGAATTGTAATCCTCATAATTCCCTCATGTCAACGCGGGGCCAGGTGGAGATAATCAAACCACAGGTGCAGTTTCCCACATATGGTTCTCACAATAGTGAGTCTCACGAGATCTGATGGTTTTATAAGCATCTGGCGTTTCCCCTGCTTACACTAACTCCATCCTGCTGCCTTGTGGAGAAGGTACCTGCTTCTCCTTTGCCTTCCAACATGACTGTAAGTTTCCTGAGGCCTCCCCAGCCATGCAGAACTGTGAGTCAATTAAACCCCTTTCCTTTATAAATTACCCAGGCTTGGATATTTCTTCATAGCAGTGTGAGAATGGACTGATACAGAAAGTCTGTAGAAGAGGAATCTTGGGAAAGAAATTTTGTATGTGATTAAGCTAGCTAAGATTAGATGTGAATTTTTTCTAAAAATTA